GATTGGGTGTTCTTTTTAAAAGCTAAAGGAAATTCTCTTGCGAAGTGAACAGCCTATAGTAAATAAACCCCCATATGACAAATCCCTCTTCCTATGGAACCACCCATGTTTTTAATTTACTTACGTTACATACAATATATTATTTCCCCCTCGACACTGAGAATCCTGGAACTTCACATGTGGGTATTCACTGTGTACTAAGAGGACACACGTTATACAAAACCCTGTGGTTGTGTTGAATGCTAAACCTATTAGCACCTATGGAAAAAATCTGCTTTGAAGGGTTTTCAAACTAATTACCTAATGAATACTACTAATGACATTAACTGTATTCAAATTCTACAGGTCAATATTGAACTTCTAATTGTCCCTAAAGGAAATAATGGAGTTACACTTAGGTGTCACTTACAGCTATGCACCTATTACGATGTATATCAGTGTACATTTGTATAGCTTGTACATTTGCTGTCCCCTCAAAATAACTCAACACAGCCAATAATGTCTAAACCGCTGGCAACAAAAAGTGAAAATGTCCAAATTGGGCCCAATTAGCCATTTCACTCCCCGTGGCATGTGACTCGTTAGTGTTACAAGGTCTCAGGTGTGAATGGGGAGCAGGTATGTTAAATTTGGTGTTATCGCTCTCACTCTCTCATACTGGTCAATGGAAGTTCAACATGGCACCTCATGGCAAAGAACTCTCTGAAGATCTGAAAAAAAGAATTGTTGCTCTACAGAAAAGTTGGCCGAGACTATAAGAAGATTGCCAAGACCCTGAAACTGAGCTGCAGCACGGTGGCCAAGACCATACAGCGGTTTAACAGGACAGGTTCCACTCAGAACAGGCCTCGCCATGGTCGACCAAAGAAGTTGAGTGCACATGCTCAGCATCATATCCAGAGATTGTCTTTGGGAAATAGACGTATGAGTGCTGCCAGCATTGCTGCAGAGGTTGAAGGGGTGGGGGGGTCAGCCTGTCAGTGCTCAGAACATACGCCATACACTGCATCACATTGGTCTGCATGGCTGTCGTCCAAGAAGGAAGCCACTGCTGTGGCTGGTTCTCCTCAAAGCAGTGCTCAGCCACTGGATCAGACCTGCGTCTTCCAGCACAGGCGTCCTGGAATCTTTCTGGAGAGAACTGGACTCTGCTTTCTCCCTATCCTGATAGCAATCTCGGACCAGCAGCTGAGATGGGACTTTTATCTGATGCGTGACAGGCGAGATGTTTTTTTTAATATCCTGTAAGTGCATTACTTTTAACCTTATTAAATAGTCACTTTATACTGCACTTAGATCGGTGCGCCGGTTTCCTATGTTTCTTTCACAGTGCTGTTACATGGATGTTTCCCTATCCAACCAACCAGGCTGCAGGATCGGTGCATACTTCTTCTCTGGAGTAATTACCAGTATAACTGGAGTTCATTTGATACTATCAATGTATAGTCCATAAACAATCGATCTAGTTGCGCAAGTTGATGACTTCTGTTTTCTGATGATATTTTCAGCAGACCTTCTATCCAGGCAAAATTTCTATATGCATCCATATTTTCATAGGACCACGTGTCATAGTCTGATAACCAATACATTAGTGCCCAGAACAAACGGTTTGATCCAGACTAAACAGGATATCCATCTTATGTTTAGCTTCCTCAGAAGGGTTTAATGTACCCCATAAGCTTTCTGTACCCCATAATATAGGGGTGTTTGGTCTTGAAATTATTGCATTAAAGGAGAACTATGAGGTGAGTGATTTTGGGCTCAATAGATCGGGAAGTGAGGGAAACACATACCGTCGCTTGCTCACTTCTAGATCATGTCCCTGCAGAGACCAGTGACTGTCACTCACGGCTCCCTGCAGGGATTCCCCCCTCCGATCCTCCAGCGCTGACTGGAAGAACGGACGGGGGAGGGGGTGGGTACAGCTGGCTCTGCCTCTAGATAGGCAGAGCCAGCTGTCACTCACGCAGCTGGGTGGATCTCGACAGTAATGTCGGGATCCGCCCCGGCTGCGGCGCTCTCAGTATACCGCGAGCTGTAGCTCGCTATATACTGAGCTTTGGGTGACGGGGTGGACGCTAGTTTATGTCCCCTCGTGACCCTTAGGAGAACTATGGGGAAAAAGACTTACCCCATAGTTCTCCTTTAATGTACTGTAGGCAGGTGTTATGAAGATATCTCTATTACAGTAACCATTATGAGATATGACCAGAGTTGAGCACTGGAAAGGTGTGTGTGTATGTGTATATATATATATATATATATATATAATAGGGCAGTGCAAGGTCAAGTAATACTGGGCTTCTCCATTTGATAGATTATTTTACAATTTACTTACAGGGCTATTAGCAAGCTCTGTTTCTGGCAGTTTACGACCCCCAATTCTAGTCAGGATACATTAGAATCTGTGGAGTGTTCTGCTAGACGTCTTATGAGCTGGCAGTTTTTACAACCGGCGTAATAAAACCCATTTGAGGCTTTGCAGACCTCTGCTGAGTACCGTTTATGCATTTTTGTGTCTATAGCTGAGCTGCTGTAGTGGAATTTATGATGCTTTGCTCGTGTAGGAAGCTTATCATTTTTAGAGAAATAAATCCTTTTTCTCTCGATTTGGGGCCCGTCAGACGCATCTTTTTTTCTTTTTAATAGATAAACAAATGAATGGCTCTGCAGGAAACGTGTGAATATCCTATTAAACACACACACACACACATATCAATGGCCTATCTCTACACAAGCTATGTCAATGGCAATGCTACTGCCAGACGCATCCACCTCTACTCATTGGAACTCCTCTCTCCCAATCCCTCCACTGGCTTCTGATTGCCCAACAAATAAGTAAAATTGAAATAACAACAACCACTTACATAGCCGTCCAGAACTCTGCCCCCAGTTACGTTACCAACCTTGTCTCAAAATTTAACCCAAACCGTCCTCTCTGCTCCTCCCAAGACCTCCTCCTCTCTAGTTCCCTCATCAACTCCTCCCATGTTCGCCTCCAGGACTTCTCTAGAGTCTCTCCCACCTTCTGGAACTCCCTACCCCAATCTGTCCGGCTATCTCCTACTGTGTCTGCCTTTAGGTGATCCCTGAAAACTCGTCTCTTTGTGGAAGCCTATCCCACCTCTAACAACTGAACTTTTATTTTCTCAAACAGCTCATCCTCTTATAGTAACTACCTTTTGTATCACTTGCCCTTCCCTTTTAGATTGTAAGTTCTCACGAGCAGGGCCCTCCTTACCATCTTGTCTTGCATTGCATTGTAGCTGTATTGTCTCCCTTTATATTATTATTATACAAGATTTATATAGTTTATATAGTTTGCTCAGCACTTTACAATATAAGGAAGACATTGCAATCACAACTGTGCGAACTGATGGCACTATAGAAATCCTGAATAATAATAATTATAATTATAATAATAATAATATAAATGGCAAACAAACCAAATCCTCTTCCTTTAAGTTTAAAAATTCAAGAAGTTACTTGTAGCTTGCCAGAACACTCAGGTTATCAGCACAGAAGAATGTTCTGCATGTCTAAGCAATGAACTGATGATTAATATGTGTAGTAGGCAGCTATTGCAGATTTATTATAGAAGGACTCCAGGCAAATTTTAAAAACATACATATACTGTATAGATAGTATTTCATGGTAAACGGATTTTGAAACTACCATCACCATCATTCAGGCACTGAACATCCAGAACAGGTCAGACATTTTTCTATTATTATGACATGGCTGACAGGGCAAAATGGTGTTATACTTGACTGATGGATTCGTCAATTTTCATCCCTCCGTTAAAACCCCAATACACACACGGACTGCGTGACATGGATTTTAATGGTCACGGCAGCCCTTTTATTAAACCAAACAACTTTAACAATAACCAAAAGTAATAAACCAAATAATATATACAAATAATACTCTAAACGATGGTTGACCTGAGAAGGGGTCTGTGGGTGCCCAACAGCCCAAAAAGGCCTCTCATAACACTCCACCCATGTCCCCAGCCGCACCACAACCAGCTCGAGGACACTTACTACTTCCAGGTTCCCGAGGGGCCAGGCCCCGCCCTTTACAAATCCGGACATCAACAGAGGGAAGCACCCGTACCAGCTGATGGCTCCCCATTTTTGTAAACAACTCCGATTTTGTAGACCCCCTAACCCACCAAGCTGCCGTGACAAAAGAACCCCACAAACCTCAGAACCACAGAATTCAGGGAGGGAGGGTGGGATAACTTGCTTCCTTCGTCGATTTCCAGAAAAGGACGTCCCTCAGCCCTTGCAGTTCCTTCCCATGCGGCTCCTCTCGGACACCTGACCCCCACGTCCAATCAGGTAAGAGCAGCTATTCCCATTTTATTTTTAACTCTTTCTCCCAGGACTATTCCTCCCCCCAGTCATGTAGCCCCTCCGCGCAGTCTCTCCGGGTCTGTCTTTTCAGGGTCACAGTGCCAGGACAAAGTCCTCCAGTACCAGAGTTTAAATCGCAAAAATGCTTCTCCTAGTGGCACAGGTAGGAGAGGCAGGCAGGTGCACCTTGCCCTAAGTGCCACCACTCACTGAGGGCATCTCAGCCACCGTCAGGTAGATTGATCTTATGTCTGGTGCATGCATAGTGCCAGAGCTGACCTCACTCATGCTTGTAACACACCTCCCTATAGACTTCAACATGAATAACCGCCTGAAATACTGTTCAGGGAAGTTCTCAGCAGAGATGATTGAGTGCAGTAGGCATATTGCTGTATGTCTTCACATTTAATACGTGGACTCTTGTATTGCATAAGGACATTTGTTACAATGTGACGTGAAAGATTGATTTTGACTGATTCATGAAATCTGGCGAAAAGAAAAACTGGAATTTCTGCTCATAGTGACTAATCGGGTTTGTATTTGAGAAGTGAAATAAGATGATTGTCAGCAGTTCCAATGTTGTTCTCATTTTCTTTTCTCACCTTTTCAGGGATCATTCTGTGTTATAAGAGAGGGAGGAGTGTGACAAGGAGGAGTTACAATGGAGTTCCCACGTATTGCTCCATTTGTTCTCAGGGCAGATCAGAGTCTGGGAAGGAAGAAGGAATCACTCCGGGTAATCATGAGGGTTCCATCGCTCATATCACTCTGGGCTGTGGCCTCTGTCTGTAGAGCTGAGGATACCTGTCCAGGTAAGTCTTCTATATACAATGCCAGGCAGATATCCTCATCTTTATAATGCCTCTTCTTATAACTAGCTACATACTGTCTAAGAGGTGTCATTTAAAGGATATTTTAAACCTAAATGCAATTTATTTCTTTTTTGTGACTTACCAATCCTAAAATATGGTGGCTGCAGGATTGCCCGCAGTGATTCCTTAGGATTCCATAGAACCCACATGATTACCTAGAGTGATTCCTTAGAATTCCATAGAACCCACATGATTACCCGGAGTTATTCCTTCTTCCTTCCCAGACTCTGATCTGCTCTTCATTAAGAATTAGTTTTGTTTTAATCTTGTTCCCTTTTTTTTTCCACCTGGTTATCCAGCCAGTATCTTTAAAAAGTGGAACTCAGGGGTAACCTTCTTTGCCCATAGTTCTCTTCAGTCACGGGAGGACATATAGTAATGTCCTCCTCCGGGGACTCAAAACTCAGCATATAGTGGGCTATTGCTACGCTGCAGCTGGGACAGATCCCGGCAATATTGTGGAGATCCCCCCCACTGGCTGATTGACAGCTAGCTCTGCGCTGGAGAAACAGGGAGGGGGAGGGGGGAATTCCTGCAGGGAGCGGTGTTTGACAGTCTCCGCTCTATGCAGGAAGTGGATTGGGAAGTCAGCGATCAGTGAAATGTGTTCGCTGACTTCCCGATCAATAGAGCCAACTTGTGACAGGGGGGCCACACACTTCCCAAGTCAGCAGGGTTCATCCGAAATTTGAGCAGTGTATGGCCAGCTTAACATAGGAGCAGCAATAGGGGAGGAAGTGTGTTGGTGCGAACAGCGAGGAGCAACACTGAAGGATCGAAAGGAGAGAAACATTAATGAAGTGTCGTGCACCACTTTTATTAATTTGGTGCAAAATGCTCCACATCATTCTCCATATTGAACTCTCATTTCTCTCCATGCACCAATGTTTTTTAATACCTAGGACTGTCCACAGATGCACTACTGCTACAACATACTCAGTCCCTTAATCAGGTACAGTCTGTCATAAAATGGTGAAACGGAAAGCCTTCAATTCACTCCTACAAATGCAGGTAGTGCATGTGTAATTTCGCCAGGCACACTGTCACTTAGTACAATACTGACCCTGCTGGCGAAATTTGTGGATGCAGGTATAGAGCAGTACACATGTGATATCCTCAAACACAATGCCGCTTAATATAATGGTAAGGCTAAAGGGAAGCTAGTGTCAGTGGTGTAACAACCGGGGGTGCAGCAGGGGCGCGGGCCACATATATGTCCCATGACTAGAACAGCTAGTCCACCATATCTTCCCATCCAAAAATGGTCAGCACCTCTATAGGGTAAGTGCATACAAACATCCAGGCAATTTGCAAAATGTAATTTTGCCTCGTCTGCCTCAGTGGTTTTTTCGTATAGGGAGCATGGTTCAAAGATGGCGTATCTGTGATCTATTACGTATTATTGCACGCCCAACATGTGGCACTGCATGTCTTCCCCTTACTTACTTCAACTCTACTCACCCCTTGCAAAGTAATGTTTAGCCTAAATTATATCATAAAGAGGGATGGTACTCATGAAAATGTCCGGTATCAGAACCGATACAAGTATCGGTATCTGTGCATCCCTAGTAACAACCTAACACACTAGTACACCTAGCATGCAGTACCTTGCACTCTGCACTGTATGTGCTAAAAGCACAGATCCACCTCGCTTAACACAGCGCCATTGTATGAACAGGCTCTAAACCTAAGCCTAAACTATGTATGAGTAGAAGGGAATGGACATGCCGGGCTCGGCTGTGTGATGTATGAGCTGAATTTCTGTATATGTTTAATTATGCAGGGCCATGAGGTCCTACTGTTTCGCACTTCTGTACTATGTTGGTATGCTTATATAAATAAAGAATATAAAAAAAAAACAAAAAAAACCTAAGCCTAAATGCTAAAACTAGGCCCAAACTTCAGGTGAAAATTATACTTTTGTGTCTATAAATAAAATATTATCATGGAAATAAATGCTATTGGAAATGTAACCTTTGGGAAGGCTATTTTTTATGTACTAATTGCCACTGAAAAAACCTGTACTAAAATTAATTGTTCTGGTTATATGATCCTCTGGATTCAGGAGTTCTGACTGCACGGAGTGTGTACATATCCTGGGTCAGTGACTGAAAACACTCAGAAAAGGCAGAAGATCAGCATGACATTATGGCAACTAGTTGGTGCTTCTGTGTCAGTGACCAGAGCTGTAGCTATCTCCTTTTGCGCCCGAGGCAAGAAAAAAAAAGTGCCCTCCCCCCCCACCCCCCACAGGCGTGTGACATCACCCAGCACCGCGCACATGCGGCATCATGTGATGTCATGCGCCCCACCTCCAGGATTTTTTATTATGTTTTTTATTTTTTATTTTATTTTTTTTATTTAACTGTTGGGGGGCTTCGGGGAAATATTAGGGGTCTAAACAGCATGCAGGAAATTAAAATTGCAATAGAGTCAGAATCTCTTATCTGTATACTTGTCTTGGTTCAGTGAATAAAAGGTATCGCAGCCTCAGTATCTAGATAACAAGGAAGTTGCTATTTTCTGAAAAAGAGACCAGCAATGGCAGTTTACTTATTTTGGATCATTGGTTTCCTTCAGTAAGTGCTGGAGCAGAGGGGACACTAGGAGGGGGGGCACATAGGAGGAGGATAGAGTACTATCAGTTTGTGTTCAGTTGTTTGGGTATGTGTAGATACACAGTAGAATTCTTCTGTGCGCCAAATTAAAAACTGGATGTGGGTGAGCCTCCCTGTTAATGTCCCTGAAAGGGTAAGAAGATATAAAAAGATTCATCAAACCAAAAACAAGCTAGATCTAAAATTGGTTTTTGGTAAATGAACATTTAACCCAGTGGTTCTCAACCTTTGTAGGGCCGGGACCCCTTGGTAACATTTTCCAAGTTGTGGTGACCCCCAACCGTAAAATTTAGGGATGCACCAATACTAGTATCTGTGTGGGCTCTCGGGAGGCTATGTGGGCTCTCAGGTGGCTAGTGGGACTCTCTGTTGGCGTCCAGTGCGGGCTCTGTGGTGCCCAGTGCCGACTCTGTGGTGCCCAGTGCCGGCTCTGTGGTGCCCAGTGCCGGCTCTGTGGTGATCAAGCACTCGCCTCCCCTCTCACTGATCCTCTCTGGCCACTGCTGCTGCAGCGCCATCTAGGAGAACTGACACTGTTGCGCTAGGAGGAGGCTGAGGAGCCTCTTACTTAGAGCAGCACAAGGCATGTAGGGACCCCCTCAACTGTGGGTTGCGGCCCACTTTTGGGTTACAACCCACAGGTTGAGAACCACTGATTTAACCAGTTCCTAAGCACAATCTGTAGATTTATATTCCACAGAACAGTGCTCCATACTTAAAGAATGCTAATCTATGTTCTATTGCGGATCTAGGAGTGCACAGTTGGAGTCAGGTGCACTTGTTGCCTTGGTATTTGTTTCCCACTGAATGTTGGCTTGTTCACTTTATTGCTAACAGATGAATAACACCTTATGTTCTGTCTTTTCTCCACCTTTTTTTGCAGATGTGAAGGTCATAGGAGTTGGCGACTCAGATAAACTGGCCATTCTCAGAGGATGTCCTGGTCTTCCTGGATCTCTCGGGCAAAAAGGAGAAGCTGGAGCTGCTGGAATGAAAGGCAAGTAGAATTCATATAAAGAATAAGGTCCCAGCCTACACCTCTATGCATACCTAGATCCTCCAGTGACCAGACCGGACCCATACAATTGCTTAGGCACAGACATACCAGGCTGTTCGGATGCAGACTACCTCTGTCCCTTCACAATCTCCAACTCTCAGACATCAGTCCTGTCTATGTAGGACAGACAGGCCTGGACACATGGTCCTGATGTGTAACGGTGCCCATACACCTTACGAATATCGACCGATTTTCGTATGCGATCGCGATTTCGTCGATATCCGTAAGATTGATGGGCAGTGTACAACCTCAAATACTATACAATCGATCGACTTTTGACTAACCAGCAGGTTACAAAACTTCGGTCGATCGTACGATCTTGCAAGGTTGGTGGCGTTTCCGTACATCAAAATTCCTACGATTAACACTGCTCATGCACAGGGGCGGGCTTCCGATGACCGCAATGCTGAACGGCAGTCTGCACTTTCACACACCGGCCCGTCCGGCTTTTATCTTACGAACATGCTACACACCCGCCGAAAATCGTACGATTCTCGGCGGGTTTTCGAACATGTCCGTAAGATAAAAGTCGTGCGACCTTACAGCAGTAGAGGTCGCACGGCTTCCACACACCTTACAATAAACGTACGATCGCGGGATTTCACGCGATTATCGCAAGGTGTGTGTGCACCTTTAGGCTTCAAACTACTCTAGAATCAGGTAGAAGCAATCACTGACTATGAAATGTTCTTAATTCACATGTTGTTAATTCACATGTCCTATGTGTTCTTTTATTGTTTAGGAGAAATGGGAAGTCAGGGAACTGCAGGAAAATATGGTCCTCCAGGTGAAAAAGGTTTGTAAAATTCAGCAATCCATCTACGTCTTCTTTCTGCAGTCTGACTCCTACTCACTGTGCAACACAGACAGTTTCTACTTCAGCTGATTCCAGTATTTCCCACTTTCCATTACCTGACCTGAACTTATCTGACATTTTCAGCATTCGGACCTCTATTTACTAAGACAAACAGGGGTCAATATATCAGTGGTTTCATACAAGATTATAACAACCATTACCCCAGATTCACACCATTTTTAACAACCATTAACATCCTTTACGCAAGATACACACTTTTTTCAGTTAGAAAAATGTGTCTCTTGGGTGGAAAGTTGTGTGAATCTTGAGTGAAAACATTTATATTGGTATTATGTAACACACTGTGCAATTGATGAGAAGGACATGAGGAGTACAGCACAGTATACCAAGTAGAAAAGTAAGGACTCTATTGGGATAGAGTATAGAGTTGGGATTATTATTATAAATGTGAATTATATAACGTATAGCACAGGATACAGAGTGGGGCAGCTGCGTATGCAACTTACAGTGCTACATACAGAACGGAGTAGTCCCCAATTTATAAACACCGCTCCCAAGTTATGTGGCTAATAGCCGCCATTCATACATGTAATAGGTGCCAAAAGCAATCCAAAATTGAAAGGAGAATTAGCTATACCTTATCTGGCACATGCATACTATTAGTTGTCACCTTTTAGTAGACATCTAATGGTTATAAAAGTTGGACCTTATCATTTAAAACTATTGTTTTGTGTTAAGATCTACTTTTCAGATGATGAGCTCAATGAGATTTACCAACGAAACAAAACATATCTTTATTTTCATAACAAACACATTAAAATGATTACTGGGACTACTGTGTGTATCTTCCCATTGGATAAACCTAATAATTTGAATAGAGATGTTCAATTTTAACAATAAGCTTAAAATGCCCACAGCACAATAGATTTAAATAGCCATCTTATTCTGTTGATCTGCACTGAATGCAGACCGGTGGTCTCTCCTGGCTCTCTCTCCTGGCTGTCTCTCCTCGGTCTCTCTCCTGGCTGTCTTCCCCCAGTCATCCTCCTGGCTGTCTATCCTTTCTCTCTCTCGGTCTCTTAGCTGCCTCTCCTTGCTCTCTCCTGGCTGTCTCTTCTCACTCTTAGCTGTCTCTCCTTGCTCTCTCTCCTGGCCATCTCTCCTCTCTCTCTCTCACCTGGCCATCTCTCCTTGCTCACTCCCCTGGCTCTTTCTCCTTGCTCACTCCCCTGGCTCTTTCTCCTTGCTCACTCCCCTGTCTCTCTCCTGACTGTCTCTTCTCACTCTCTCCTGGCTCTCTCTCCTGGCTCTCTCCCCCTGCTGTCTCTCCTCCCTCTCTCCCCTGGCTGTCTCTCCCCCCTCTCTCCCCTTGCTGTCTCTCCTCAAGCTCTCCTCTGGCTGTCTCTCATCATGCTCTCCCCCTGCTGTCTCTCCTCCCTCTCACCCCTGGCTGTCTCTCCTCAAGCTCTCCCCTGGCTGTCTCTCATCATGCTCTCCCCTTGCTGTCTCTCCCCACAGTCTCCCTCCTGGCTGTTTCTCCTTACCTGCACTCCAGCAGCTTTCTGGCATTTTCTCATGCGCACGGTCCTGTTCTCCAGCGTCCTGCCCCATCCCACCTGTAGCATCCGACACATTCGGCTGCACTATGACTGCGGGAGGAAGCTCGGGACAGCGAGCTAACTTATGATTGTGATCGACCAGCATTCGCTATGCGAACAACTGGTAGATCACGTTGACCTAATGGGCGCGCCAGATTTTAAAACAAAAATAAATGAACAATTAAGGACCCTTTAAGAGGAAACATGAAATGTATGTGATTAGTCTCGGTTATGACTCCTCATTAAAGGCCATCAGAAGCCTTCAGGTCCTTTTTCTGCAAATAAAGACAAGTGAAAATATACACATTTATTAGTACATACTGCAATACTGAGAGTATTTATATGTTTTTTAGGTGCCATGGGCTCTATGGGAGAGAAAGGTAACACTTCCAAATTCTAATGTATGTCTTTTTCTATACTTTAGTGCATTGAGGACCTTAAGCAAGCTACTTATGTAACACACCCTATCCCTCTGCCCTGCTGCCATTGCTCTCTCCCCCCCCCTGTCACTTTTCCCAGCTGTCAAAATGGCAGACATTACTTGCAAAATTGTTTGTAATCCCTGTTCAGGAGCTTAATAAGTAAATTCAATGCAACAGTGATACAGTGTATTTCCTTTTTTTTTTATTCATATGTAGATCAAAGGGGTCAAAACAACTTTCCCAGTAACACTTTTTTAAAAATAACATTTGTCTCTATGTACCCTTTCTGAACCATAATCTTTTCTAATGACCTCCCTACTCTCCTTATCCCCTCAGCACCTTTTTTCTGCTGATTTCTTTGTTTCTATTGTCCCGATTTGAGCCTTGTTTGTCCCTATACAGTATATGATTTACTTTATTATGGAATTACTTTTTATCTTAAAGGAGAACTATGAGGCGAGTGAAAATCACTCAGCCTCATAGTTGTAGCCGTACTGTGACAATGAAACTGTCACAGGTCGGCTCGATTGATCGGGAAGTGAGCGAACACATAGCGTCGCTCACTTCTCGATCCATCCCTGCAGAGAGCCGTGACTGACAGTCCCTGCATGGATCCCCCCTTCCCTGTCCGATCCTCCAGCTGTCAATCCCGCAGCTGGATGGATCTCGACAATAATGTCAGGATCCGTCCCGGCTGCTGCGTCTCAGTATACTGTGAGCTGTAGCTCGCGGTATACTGAGCTTAGGGTAAGGGGAGGACGCTAGTTTGTGTCCTCCCGTTACTCTTAGGAGAACTATGGGGAAAAGCCCTGACCCCATAGTTCTCCTTTAAGCAATAAAATTATCGCCAAATACACAGACCTGTAGCAGAAATGTAAAAATTGCTCTGGTCCATAGGGGGTGTACAGGTGGGAGAGCGGAAGTGGTTAATGGTATGTATTTGGGGCCAGCTTAATGAAGTGCGGTGCTATGAATATATGGAATTTGTAATAGTTGCTGGCCTGTTATTCTTACATTAAACTAAAAGGCTTCTTCTGTATTTCTTATGACAGGAGAGAGAGGGGTCTCTGGATTAACTGGATCTTTTTATGGTAAATGTATGTTATTTTATTTCTTCTGCATGGTGGTGGGCAGGCTGCTTTATACCAGTATCTTGTATCATACAAATAATGGGTTCTGTTTCAAGCTATTCATTCCATTCCAAGGCTCAGTAAGCTACAAAGGAAATCTCCTTTCCTTACACACTTATATGTAATGAGTACATCTTTTGGATACAACTTCTTGTTTCTTAACCCCTCAGGTGTAAAAAACTGCAAGGAACTCCTGCAGCAGGGTGCAATATTAAGTGACTGGTACACCATATACCCAGATGGCCAGAAGCCAATGAAAGTGTTGTGTGATATGGATACTGATGGAGGAGGCTGGATTGTAAGTGATCATAGATGTTGCATCAATGCAGATAAGGGAAAAAAAACAAGATAGAATTCCTAAAGGGAATGTATAGTCTATTAAAATCCATGAAGTAGGTGTAACAGAAAAGACATTATGACATATATATAACTAGGAGCAGGCAATTGACTTTGGAACAACTGGTCATTGAGTTAAATGCAGCAGGTTTTTGGAGCTACCTCTCGAGGCTTAAACATTAGGCAATAGGACTGTCAGGACTACCACATGGGTACTTTTGCTTAATAAACCTTGTCATTGTTTACTTCAGTAGGTATTACTGTAGGCAGGGCCGTCTTTAACGCAGGGCAACAGGGGCAGTTGCCCAGGGCCTAGTCCTTGTTGTGGGGCCCAAAGCAGCTGCCCCTTGAGCCTGCAAAAGATACACATGTTCAGGGCTGGCAACCTCACCTGTGTAGGTATGGGGACTTACACCGGACCTGCCTCCTGTCTGTGTACACAGCAGCATGGATGGGACTTCGGGCTCCGCCCACTATCCACTCAGCCCCGCCCCTGGCTCTCCGTACTCACTGTGTTGCCTGGGGCCTGCTGGGAACCCTCAATGTGCCATGATCGATATCACCATAATCACTGGCACTGTAAATCTAACCAATTACAAGTGTGTGCTGACATATTTACATACAGTAAACCCTAAATCCTTTTTTTCTTTATAGTAATATGTCCCCAATTACCTGCAATATTTCATGCATCCTGGGAGGCTTTGGGGCAATCTAGAGAGGGCCGGCACTAGCACAAGGCTGCATAGGCAGCTGTCTGAGGGCACAGGGGGGGGATGCACCTTTGCCTGTGTAGGAATAAACCTTGCATCAGCCCTGCACACGAGGCATCTAGGGTTCACGGGGCGTGGCAGGTAGTGGGCGGGGGCCCAAGGAAATGTTTGCCCAGGGTCCAATCAATATTAAAGATGGCCCTGACTGTAGGTCAACGAGAGCACACTTTGGTGTATGTTCATAATGTGTTGCAAATCCAATGTTGGTGTTCTTTGGGCAGTGTCCTGACCACAGTTAGATTGATCTCCCAGAAGGAGAAGAGGGAAATGCAATATGCAGGTGTGAGGCTGAACCTTAAACCGGTGTTCTGGCAACCATGCTGCAATACTCCAATATGTGAACTGTGCCACAACAGGATCCATCATTTTGGAGGAGATTGGCAGGAGTAATAACCACCTGCAGAGAGAGCCACTTTTCCAGCCACTTATTGGGGTGTAATAACTTTCTATGTGCAGGTCTTCCAGAGACGTTATGACGGGTCTGTTGATTTTTACCGTGAATGGAAGGCCTACAAGGATGGTTTCGGGAGCCGCCTGACTGAGTTCTGGCTGGGCAATGACAATATTCATATGCTGACATCATCAGGTAATTAGACTTCCTCATGAGCACCTTCACCTCCATTCCATCCCTTCACCAGTTGTTTAGAGATGGTGGCAGGGAGCATCTCTATAGAGCCATGACTGAGGAGTATGCTTAGGAACTTGAATATAAATGTGCCTGAAAATGTGAAGTTGTCATATCAAGGCAAATTTTCCTGTATTATCTAGTCTGTACTTTAAGGTGATATTGTAACTCGTTCTCTAGTGGGTCCCCGCATAGCTTTTCCCCCTGCCGCCATCAGCTGAGCGGCTGCTGGGGAGACACCTGCGCATGCTCGTTACCGGCCATACCCACAAGTGGCTGTGTTTGTCCATAGACACACACAGCCCTGTGGCAGGCCACACCCCTCCTCTCCACCCAAAAGGATGATTGGCAGCACTAAGAGCCTATGGTTCCTCTGCCCTCAATCTCCTCCCCCGCAACCAGGAAGTTCGGGACAAGGGATTGCTTTGGGGACCGGCAGTGGTGACAAGCTGACAGGTAAGTGGGGGGCTGGGGGGGGGGGCAGAAAAGGTACTAGCCATTTTTTACCTTAAAAGAGAACTATGGGTCCACCTTTTTTGCCCATAGTTCTCTTTAGGGTCACAGGAGGACATATACTGTGTCCTCCGGTGACCCAAATCTCAGCATATAGTGGGCTATTGCTCGCTAAATGCTGAGAGTGCAGGGCCGCTCCGCAGCTGGGATGGATCCTGACATTACTGTCGAGATCCATCCCACTGGCTAATTGACAGCTGGCTCTGCCTCTCTAGAGATGTGCTTGCACCCTCACCCATCCGTCCCTCCAGTCAGTGCTGGAGTATCCGAGAGGGGAGGGGGGGATCCCTGCGGGGAGTGGTGACTGACAGTCTCTGATCTCTGCAGGGAGAAGATTAGGAAGTCAGCGATCGGTGGTATGTGTTCGCTGACTTACCAATCAATAGTCGATGTGTGACAGATTCAGTGTCACAGGTCGGCTTGATTTATGGGGATAAGTGTTTTTCACTCACCCCATAATTCTGCTTTAATGCAGAGAATGCATTAAGGTAAATAAACGCCAAGCCCTTAGTAATACTTTAGGGGGTAAAACTGGATTGTGACTGCCCAGAATTTTTAGTCTAAAATATTTTCTTTCAAAGATTATTAAATCACTTTTTATACTTCTATACATTCAACTCCCAAATTGAAAGGCCTAATGAAATATGCTGTTGCATTAAACATTGGGCAGTTTGGTCTGATTTTGGGAAAGGACTTTTGGGTAGTATGGACAGATTTCTGTGGGCTAAAGAAAGTGCGCCATGATGCCACATTGATTAGTGGGAATGGTAAAAGGCGGGTGTTCTTAAGTAACAAACCTTTTAGCTTTTTCCAGGATCCATTGCCTCTGCAGCTCTGTGTTTGGTCACCATGCCCCTTGCAGTTGGATATCCTTGTCATGTCAATGCCTATTTTGGAAATGCTGTCCTGACCTGTTTTACACAGGTTTTTATGTGTTTGCCCTACATAAATCTGCGTATTATAATGACAGTTCTCTTTACAGGCACCTGGGAAATACGTATTGATCTACATGCCTTTGACAACACTAAGCATTTTGCCAAGTATGCATCCTTCCAAGTTCTGGGAGAGGCTGAGGAGTATAAATTGTTACTTGGAGCTTTCACTGAAGGCACTGGAGGTAAGAGATAGATTGCTTGCTTGCTGGTTGTTCGCGCCCTAACTGAAGTCTGATAGAAGTCAAACTGTCCCCTGTCCTCTAATATGTTAGCATGAGCCTGGTGCCAGTGACAGAATGAAGTGATAGACAATGAATGCCCCTATCTATTATAACTTAACTTCTCTGTGTTGGTGACAAATGGAAAGACATCTTTTGTCACCTGTCACCAGAGCAGTGATCACAGACGCTACAGGCAACCTGTCACGTACCATGGTGGAGTCTGAGTTAACAAGGGCGGCCTCCCTTGCAGCTCCAGTGTCAGAGCCCCTGGATGGCAAAACAGGTGTGCGGAGACACGGCGAGGCACGAGTGCTGTTGATGTCACCATGGCAGGAAAGGTCAGTCTCTGCAAAGCCAACAAGTCCCTGGAAACGGGCACGGATGTGGAACAAGAGGGAGCAGAGTTCCAGAAGAGCCTTGGTCAGAACTAGCCGGGTCCTCAACAGGCAGGCAGAGCAGCAACAAGTAGCAGGTTTTGCCTAGGGCGCAAAATAGTCTAGCACCAGCCCTGTGGACACCTTCCACGTTGCGGCCCTCTAGCGAACCACACAGACTCAGAGGACTAGTTGCCACAACGGGGCACTGGACACAGGGGCACACAGGGGAGAGACCTGTGGACCGGCTGCAGTACAGGGTACAAAGAGGCACAGGGGAAGGAGTGTAAACAATAGAGGGAAGGGACACATAGGGCCACCAGCGAGGCAGCACAACACAGCTACCCAGAGTACTCAGAGGAGTGAGGCTGCATAGGACAAGCAGCCAAACAGGAGGAAGACAGACTCACAGGTAAGAGCAGGTGCAAGAGCTCACCGAGGAGGTGATTACCATCCACTAGCAGGACACACTGGGAGCACAAGGGAGATGAGACATCAATATTGGGAAACGCACAGAGGGAGTGTGCTACACAGGGAAGATGCACACAAGGGATGGTGCGTAATACAGGAGCTCAGATACAGGGCGCATACACAAGGGAACAAGTATAACGCAGGGACTACTGCTCACAGGGTAATATGCACAAGGGAAGGTGCAGGACAAAAGCAAAATCACAAAGGAATGAACTGGAAGCTGTGCAATGAGAGGCGTGCGTAGCACGGCCACAGATGCACCGGACACTGTGCACAAGGATAGCACTAGGGAATGTGCATTGCACTGGAAGACACAGAGAAGGGAGTGCAAATATACAAGCAAGGAGGGAGGCCAACAAACAGGAGCTGCAGGAAACTTTAACAACAGGGATACAAGAAAGAGCAAGAGGGAAAAGCCAACAGGAAACGGAGTGGGTATGAGAACACAGGAGAGTAGCAAAAGTAGGGATCCAAAAAGGTACACGTGCACATGTGATCACAGGAAGCACGAGGGATCCGACACAAGGACTAAGAGTTGTTGCTCAAACGATGAGCAGCAAGTGAGATAGAACTAATTAGGGGAGGAGGTGTGCAGATTGGCTGCAGCCCTGTGGAACACCATAGGCTGACAGCCAAGCACTAGGGACCAAAGGGAAAATAAGGCATGGATTGCCGGACATTGTGACACCCTGCTGGACAGAATACCCAGGTAGATGACCCAATTTCTATGTTAAAGTTAAGAATAACAGTGGTGTCATCTCCCCACTCACAGTACTGCCTGGACTGTGAAAGTAATGTATCTTCTCACTCTGCTTCCTCTTCCTGTCAGCATGTTCCTTGTTGGCACATTTGCATGCAATACACCAGACTGGCTCCCAGTGCTGCTTCTCCCAGTCTTAGTGACTGCAATGCTGCTACACAGGGGATTTCAAGATGCAGATACCAACTGATTAGGAAAGAGAGACAGAGGGATTTGGTTCTAAATGTGGGACAGTTGGGGGGGTATGCTTACAGTGGCTGCTAAGGGCATCCATTACTCATACAGGACATCTGAAATGAAAATGAAACCTGTCAGAGACAGACGCACAGATTTATTCACTAAGGATCTGTAAAAGTGGTGAGCACATAGCCTGCTGATTGAGAACTTCTGTACTCCATAACCACTGTGGTTCCATTACTACCACATATTAGAAGCACCTATACAGGTTGTAGCCAGAAGGAAGTCACTGCAGTCTTGTAGAGTATAAGAGATACAAGCTGATATTCAAAGTGAAAAAACAAAAAGCCAAAATGAAAGAAAGCTAAACGCAGTGCATTCCACGTGTGCTATATGTTCAAAACGCAGTTTAAAGTTATGCAGCACTTATATAAAGTCATCATTTATAATGAAAAATTATTGGTTCCATTCACTAAGCCATCGCACCTGTGTTATTTACCATAAAGACCTGTTCACACCAGTTGCAGTACGTTCCGGCCCGATTCTGGCCGGAACGCACTGCCTCGCATTGCGGCCGGCTCACTTTTTAAGAGGGGCAGGAGGGGGCGTGGCGGGCCATTGAAATGAATGGCACCATAGCCACGCCTTCCGGCCGCAATGCGATCGCCGCAGTGCGATCAAAATAGTGCTTGCAGCATTTTGATCGCACCAGACCGGACCGCAGGCACAACGTGCCTTGCGATCCCGTGCGGGCCAGAATCCGTGCCAGAATCAGGCCGGAACGCACTGCAACTGGTGTGAACAGGCCCTAACGGCTGATCATTTCAGACATGCGGCTTACTTTTAGCTCTCGTTGACTCTTGTAGCAGAACATACCTGTCCCCATGGTAAATAATGGTCCTAATAGCTTAGTGAATTGAACCTGCTGGATCTGTATTGGCTGTTCTGGTTGTCTCCTGGGGGAAGGGCTTAGGCACCATTCAGAATGTTTTCAACAAGTGGATCTTAAAAATGCAGGATCAGAAAATATGGTCACGCTGTTCATGGTAAAACGGATGTATAGCGTCGGGCTATGGTTTCCAAAACAAGGGCTGAACAGAAGATAGTATGCAGTCCCCGATTATAAATGTCTGAATAAAAGTTTGTTTTTTTCACATCTTTACTGTACAGGAATGTGTTCATTTTTTTCAGGTGATTCTATGAGTTTTCATGGCAATATGCCATTCTCTACTAAGGACAAGGACTTCACTACAGACCAATGTGTCAAAGTGTATAAAGGAGGATGGTGGTACAATAAATGCCACTTTTCAAACCTGAATGGGCTCTACCTGATGGGACAACATGACACCTATGGTGTTGGAATCAACTGGCGTACTGGAAAGGGATACCATTATTCCTACAAGATGTCTGAAATGAAGATTAGACCAGTCTCATGACACATATAAGCCTAGTAAAGATTTATAAGCAGATATATTTCACCTGCCATCAGTGAAAAATCTAAATAAAGAGGTGTCCATTGCTGACTTTCTGAAAATTCTAGTTGCCTGGTTGTTCCCAACTTCTTTCTTCCACGGCCTCTGACCCACAACCAACATGGAGATCAAAAAAGTCAGTGAAGTTAGAAGTTCTAATCTACATACTGATTTTGAGTCAATGACATGCAGGCCACCAAATCCATTGGATCAGCTTCACAGGCACATAATGTCAGACGTGCCTACGGGCTGGCAGAGGAACCCACTGGTAGGAAGCGGGTTGAAGAATCCGAGAGCGAGGTACCAGAGGGCAATCCAAGGGGGGTAGTCAAGGTCCAGTCCGGGTCGAGGCAGGCAGCAAGGTTTCAGAAGCGATAGACAGTCCAAGGGGTCGGCAATCAGGAAGTTCAGACGAGGGGTCAGGGAGTAACAAGATCCAATAGAGAGGCTAGGCGATCGCACCATAGAGGTGGAATAACTCCGCAAAAAGCCAGTGCTCTGACCAGGATTTTATAGCCAGTGAAAGTAAGACCACCCCCTGGTTACCGAGGCAACCAGGAGGCTTCCCTCCCCAGGAGCCAATTGCAGGGCGAGAGAGATGTAAGGTGTGTGCTGGGAATCTCCCCCAGCAAGGCCCACACCTGGCGGTCCTATTGGGCGCAGGCGCACCCACGACCCCAGCGCCAGGAGTTCTGCCAGGCTGAAGGAGCCCCCGTGCCCTGCATCGTACCCGTCGGTCCCGAGGAGAGGTAATATCTCTTGTTTCCTGACACATAACTATTATTATATAATGGTGAATGTGAGGATTCCCGGACTACTTGGAATCATTAAAATTGTGATGGGAGGTATGTGGAGATTGGTGGGTAGCTCTTTAGACCTGGGAAAGTGATTGGAGAGTAAAAGTGCCACTCCACTGATAGAAGTCCAAAATACATTCTATTTGTATTCAACGAAGTGAGCCAATACATTTTGGGGGTTGCAAGGGTTTACCTTAATCAGGGCTGGAGGAGGAGTTAAAAGCTAAAGTTGACCAGAGGGACCAGTGATGTCACCACACCTGTAGTCCATTGACACTACCTCCTCTGGTACTGAGAACTGGAGGGAGACTGGAACGGATAGGGACGGGTAGAATCTGCAGGAACTCGAGCATTGCACATTCAATCCACCAATCACGGTTTCAGTACTTTACTGGCTCCAATGCTAAAAATCTGTAAAATGAATTGTTGGGTACAGTTGTGTCGCCCGTTCAAGCTCACGTTCTGCAGAATCTGATTAATTGAACTTAGAGAACTATGGGGTTAGGGCTTTTCCCCATAGTTCTCCTAAGGGTAACGGGAGGACGCACACTAGCGGCCTCCCATCTTCCAAAGCTCGCGGTATACTGAGACGCCGCAGCTGAAACGGATCCCGAAAAGTATGTCTGGATCCACCCAGCGGCGTGAGTGACAGCTGGCTATCTAAAGGCAGAGCCAGCTGTGCCCACCCACTCCCCCCTCCCCCAGTCAGCGCTGGAAGATCAGACAGGGGAGGGGGGAATCCAGTCCCTCCCCTGTCGCGGCTCTCTGCTTTGACAGGATCGAGAAGTGAGCGAGGGCTGGTATGTGTTCGCTCACTTCCCGATCTGTGACAGTTTCATTGTCACAGGTCAGCTAGAACTATAATGAGTGAAAATAACTCATCTCATAGTTCTCCTTTAATAAATCAGCTAACTAATCGATTTTGAAAATAATCGTTAGCTGCAGCCCTACTACCTCCAGTGTTGCTCTGAGCCCCCCCC